AACGAAAACTAAACTAAATAAAAACAAAATAAAACGAACAAAATTAACATAAGACAACAAAAGAAATAAACACAAATAAAAACGAAACGAAACGAAACGAGCTAAAACAGAGTCAAACTGAGCGCATTATAATCAGATTATGAGCACTAATGATCCTTTAATGATCGGCGTTTAGGTCTCGGGCTCAAGATTGGTTTTAAATTGAAAGCATGATCCAGCTCGGGCCATAAAACGAAATCAAATCGAATCGAATGAAGCCATATCAATTTTAAGCGTAACGTATTTCCCCTACACTTTGCTTAAGCGGATGTTGGCCAAAAAAAAAAAAAGAAAAAACAAAAGAAATAATTAATAAATAAATGAGGAAAAAACAAAGTAGGTGCCTCCAATTCTAATTTCTTCAGCTTTAATGCTTTTAATCGAAATACCTTAATAGATTTTCTGTTAACTCTTTAAAAGAATACAGAATTCCCCTTTCGAATACTGTAGTCAAAGTCTTGCAATTTTCTGTGATGTCCATAAACATAAAAATATATTCAAAAACAATTAGTTTTGCATTAGCAGCAAGTCGGAGTTTATAAATTAATATTCCTTTTACAATTAAAATAAATAATATTATTTGATAATTTTCAAATAATCATACAAAATCACAAATGAGCTATTGAAGAATCGGCTATCATATTTTTCGGATTATACCCAAAAATATATTCAAGCGATTATTTGTCTGTTAGCCACATATCTATATGATATAGATATAAATGATATATTTGTTCGATGTAAGTTTGGTAATATCATAAAAACAATAAAAAAAATGCATTGAAATATTGATTGACATGTTGTTCATGTGTGAGTCTTGAGAAACACCGCAACGCTGGGAAATTTTAATTGAATCCATCATCTTACAGGAATGTTAATTATTCTGTAACTCAGCATACTGCTAGTCAGAAATAGGGTATACATAGCCATATATTAAAAACACCTTCATTTTATGTGATAGTTAATCAATCTGTTACTTAACTTGCTGTTAGTTAGAGGTCGGGTATATATGGTACACGGTATTGTTTGGTGCGCATATTACGCAGTGCAGCACTTTGACTCAGCTTTGGTGGCTGTTGCCCTTGTTTTAACTCCTTGAACTGCCCAACAAACGCGGGTCGGTGTTAATAGGCCGTGTGTAGGGCATTTGTGCGGCTCATTAGGCCGTTCATTCATTCAACCCGTTCTACTGCTCTAGCAGAGCCCTTGGCTCAGGGCTCAGGGTTTTCATGTTGCATCAATGAAAACAGCGGACGCAATGGGGCGCCTTTGGGCCATGCAACGCGGCTACTGTAAACTCTTTTAGTTGTTGGTGTTATTGTTGTTGTTGCTTTGGCTAATTATTATCTGATATGCAGCTACATACTTGGACGGGCGGGGTCAGATACGAACCAGACCAGAGAAAAAGAGACCAGAGACCATTTCCGGTAGGCGCTTTGGCTGGCGCGCAAGCGCGTTAATGAACTTTTAACCATTGCTACTGTGCGCCGTGCCAAGGCACGCAGGACCAGGTCTAGGACCAGTCTCAGCGGCAATGATGGAGCGCGGCTTAGAGCTGACGGGGTTCAGGGACAGGTGTAATTTAATTATGTGCAGCAGCGAGCGGGTGTTCTGGCTGCGTCCAATTTTAATGACACATAAAATTGGTAGCTTATGTGCACCGCAATGAAAACAAAACTGGCAAGGACATGACACAACAGGATCTACACACATACAGAGAGAGCTGCACATGTTGTGCACGAAGCGTTTTCTGTGGCGTCATTGTCCTCGAACTAGATAAACACAAACGTGTCCGTGTCGGTGTCAGCGTCCGAGCCGGAGTCGGACTCCTAGTCTCAGCCTGAGCCCTTAAAAGCCGCTTAGTGCAATGAGCGGGCCAGGGTAATGTGAACCTGTTACCGGTCAGCGACGCGGCCCTTTTGCTGTTGTTTATTTTTCTGTTTCTGTTTTGTTTTTGGTTCAGGTGTTTCTGTGTTTTCGAGTCCGCTCGTCCTGTCGTCCTTTCTCTATGTTTTTTTTTTTTTTTTTTTTTTGTGGCTACGCGACAGGCGTTAAAATCATGTATCGCTGACTCGTTTAATTACACTTACACGTAATAGCGCGCCCGCGTGGAGACCCTCGAGTCAGCGCTTTGTTTTGGTTTTGGGTTTCGTTTTATTTTCCTCGATTTTCGGCACTTTTCTAGGCCACTTCAGCGGCCAAGTGAATTGTTGACCAACATATTTCCGTTTTCAATTATATAGCCTAGTGCTTAACTAATATTTACTGTAGTGCAGCTGATTGGCATGAAGACCAAGCAGTTCCTGAATTACCTGCAGCCCACCTGACACCAAATTTGTGATTTGAGTTACGAACGAAATTTTTTAGCTGATTGAAAGCAATTCGTATCATTTTAGGGCATTTTTTTTTTCTTTGGTATCTCTTGAGATTCCTTGAGATTTAAGCGCTTTAATTTGGTGCAAAATTAAATACAACGAAAATTAAAGTATTAAAGCATTAACGTATAGAAATTAATTAAAATATAATCAACATTACGTGAGCGGCATGGCGTGACAGCAAATTGTATTTAATAATAGCGCCATAATATTTATTTGGCAAGCGGGCAGTGAGCGGAAGAGTGGAGGGGCAACTGGAGGGGGGCAGCCTCCCCAACTAACTAAAAGTCAAAGCTGCGGCATGCGGCTCATTGAGCTGCTCGAATTGCAACTGGGCTGAAAAGAAAAAACACACACAAAAACTCTAACAAAAACAATAAACAAACAATTTGGCAACACACAACAGCAAATGTCGTCAAACAAAATTGCCAAGGCTGCCACGCCCGACGCCTAGTTTGTTGCATGTTGCAGGCAGGCCACAAAAACTGAAAAAAAACCCCCAACAAAATAACAACAAGAATGAATTTAAAAAAAAAATAAAATAAAAAAATATTAATTGCACTTAAATTGTCACTGCCGCAAAAACTTTGCTGTTGTCGTTGCTGTTGTTTGTTTATCGTTTTATCGGCTGCGGACATTTCATTAGTTTTAGTTGCTGTTGTTGCAGTTGTTGCAGTTGTTGCTGTTGTTGCTGTTGTTGCTGTTGTTGCTGTTGTTGCTGTTTTAAACGCAACTAATTAATGGTAATGGGTCATTTTGCATGGCCATTGCATGGACATCGCTTGTTTGTTGATTTAGTAAGCAATTTTTATATGGGCCCTGTGTATGTTTGTTTTAGCTATCGATTTTTTTTTGTTATTATTCACACAGTCCACACGAAACACTTGTCAGCTAACCCAGTTGACCAGCTATACAATAATAACAATTATGAGCTTCATTTAAAAAAGTTTAAATAAATGCAAACAGAAATCTACTTTGTTGCAAGTTGCAATTATATTTTCGTTAGTTTTAGCATAGAGCAAGTGCTAAAATAAGCAAAAATCAACGACTAATTTGGAATAGAATGCGGTCTTACTTTGGGCATTAGTTGAAATTGTTCGACAATGTAGAATAAACATAATTTTAGTCGAATTTTGTTATTGACATACAAGCTAATGAAGGAAGTTTTTAAGTTGGTTTTAAATAATAAATTAACGATTTTCCATTAATCAGAATAGATGTCTTAGTAATTATTCAGTGCCTTTTCCGATCAATATAGATATTAGATATAAAAAGTAACCAAAACTAAACGCATGTCATTCATGTTATATTAATATAAATACATTTAAAAGATTGCTTATATGTCTTAACCATCTGTCGTTTCCATCATATCTGTTTTTTATCATATTATTTCTGATACTCAAGACATATGAAATAGGAAGAGTATAGGAACTACCACATATTAACTATTTGGTAACGCCAAGAGAGCAAAGTCTAACGCCTGCTGAGGCCAACTTGACTTCTTCGGGTTCTTGCAAATGCCTTTCCAATCAGTTGTTAAACACCTTTCTTATTAACAAACAGTATTTTTTGTTGCAGTACCATTCATTCAGTTGGCAGCGCCTTTAGTGCTCTCGTTGCACGTTCGCATCTTCTGGCTGCCACTGATGCTTAATCCTTGCCACGTACTCTCATCTAATTGTATAAAAGCGTTTCCGTTACGTACGCCATTTTCACACACCCACACGAACGCACACGAGCACATGGACGAGCAAGAAAACGACTGCAGAGTCCTCACTCACACTTACTAGAGCGAGAGAAAGAGACAGGCTACGTGCTCCATCTCTGTCACGGCGTGTGTGTCTGTGTGTGTTGGTGCAAACTTCAAGTCAAAGTATCTAAACGCACAGTTTTTCTGTATCCAAAACTGCATTAAATGCCATAAAATAACTTTTAAAATGCTTTTTACTTAACATCCTGCAAGCGTAGCAGGCAAAGCAGAGCAGAGCAGACCCAAGCAGCGCAGCGACGCCAACGTTAGAGCCAGACGCGTGAGGTGTCAAAATTGTAATGGCAAGCAGACCCCCTCCCCAGCACCGGCACCGGCACCGGCACCACCACCAACAACCAACCACCCACTGTGCCGACGCCGAGCGAATTCCTTTGCACACCCACGCGCTGCCGGCAAGCAGAGCGAAACAGAGAAAAACACATGCACACACACACACACGCATACACACGCGCACAGAGCGAGACACGGACTCAAAGCGTGAGCGAGGAAAAGAGACAGCGTTGGTTGGTCAGCGGGGAGCGCGGTCGCCATAAAGATTAATTAACAATTTGCTGTAAAAAGGCAGCCAAGCGGTTGTTGTTGTTGGTTGTTTTTTTTGTTTACTTGCGCGCTGCTTATGTGCTTTTTTTTTGGCACTCGTCAACATCGCCGTCGCTGCTGCTTATTGGTGCGAAAGTTCAGCTAGCGATTGATGCGTGCGTCAGAGCGAGACGGCTGGTCTGTCAGCCGACTGGGCGGCAGAGAGAGAGTGAGTGCAAGCGAGCAAGCAGGCGTGGCAGCGCTGCTCTCATGCTGGCTGGACCAAAATTATCGACAGCGGAAGTTAACACACTTTAAATCAATTAGAAAATAAAAGGCGGAGTTTAAACGAGGCAGCTTAGCAGACAAAGACGACGACGACGACGTCGGCAACCACCGCGAGCAGCGCTCAGAGCTGCAGCACCACCACCAACACACAGGCCTCTGCCCAAGGGCCTGGCCCCAACCACAGCGTCAAAGCCCGGGTTAAGTGACATGCGTGCGCAGAGTTGTTGTCTTTCGATTTGCCTGCCGTCTGGTTTCGAGTTCCCCTTGCCTTCCCCCTTACTTCTTTGGTCTACCCGTTCTACCGACTGCGACCGTGGTGAGTTTCTGTTGCCGTATCTCTGATTTTTATAGCACGTCTCTTTCGCCTTTGCCTGTGGCTGTGTGGCTGCGATTATAATTTGTAATTTGAGCGTAGCATTCGAAAGAGCTGCTGCTTCATGGCTGGAGGAGATGGGGCCTCGGCTGGAGATGGAGCTGGGGCTGTGCATGCGGGACCACAGTAGCCAAGTGGCCTCGGGCCTTTAGGCCGGATCCATTCCTAGGTCAGCTGTGTGACAAAACTGTGGGTCAACAAAAACAATGAGATTGCAGTTTGTGACTCGTTTGTCTCAATCAATGAATGGATGAATGGACGCATGACTGAATGAAACCTTACCGTGTATCAGTGTGTTATCTTTGCGTCTGTTTCGATTGAGAGAAACAAGTTACAAATTTTTGGTAATGCTGCTCAATTGAAAATATGAAATGTGCTTGACATATGGAATAGAATAGAATTCCCTGGGAACGCCTTGCTGGCTGGGCACAGGCAGAGCAGCATTCGCAGCCATCGAAGATGCCCGAGTTCGTATAGTTCTCACTACGACTTGATAGTTAACCCATTATTGTAAGTTATGGGAGAGTATCCGAATTGAACCAACCCTGCCTATAGAGTATCTGTTTGTGTGCTTCTCTGCAACCTCAACTCGCTTCTCGCTGCGCTTTCAATCTGCACATTTTGACAAATTTCTTGTGACATTTGACTAGCACCGCGGCGGCAATGGCAATTGACTGGCCGCCAGACAAAGGCGTGGCATTATTAACGCTTTGCTGGTTTTGCTGATTAAGCGTCAAAACTTTGCGGTCAGAGTCAAGGATGAAACAGAAGATGAAAAAGAAGAAGAAGCTGAAGGAGAAGAAGTGAGGATGATGGTAAACGAAGTTGAAAAAGGAGTACAACAACAACGAAAATAACAACCACACATAGGAACAACAAAAGTCGCCGCAATGTCTCGAAAAACTGAAGTCAGACTCGAATATAGAATTATCGAACATCTGTAATGGAACACGCCTTTCAAAAGGCCGCAGATAAATTTGAAATGTTTACCACTAATTTTGGGGGTCAAGGAAATCGCTTTTAGACATTATTAAGGCTTACATTAAGTCAGTCTAATCTTAGTCTTTTATATGCATATATCTTAGGTGTAAAAAGTACTGTAAACATAAATAATAATAATAATAATAATAATAATAATAATAATAATAATAATAATAATAATAATAATAATAATAATAATAATAATAATAATAATAATAATAATAATAGTTATAGTAATAATAATACAAATAAATATAATAATAATGATAATTATAAGTATAATAATAACAATAATAAAAATAGTAAAAGGAGTCGTACAAAGGAGAAAAGCGCACACAATAAATAAAGTTACACGTAAAAGAGATTTTACATTTTGGTCAAATGTTAAATATCCTATTATCTATGTATAAATGAAAAAAAAAACAAGTTATGAATGTACTCTTTGTTCAGTTTTTTGTATCGGAATTACAAATATTTGTTTTTTGAAATAAATCAATATTCGATTTTGGTATATTGCTGACTGAATAGTTAGGCATATCGTAATCTTCTAAGCATATGTCAATTAATTCACGTTAGGATCTGTAAACTCAACAGTCTATAAGTTGGGATATTTTACAACCACGATAGCTCTTTGTTCCAGCTCGACTATAAAATTCGACTTGTTATTTTTGTATTTCAGTTTTAAATTAATTTTTTTGCCGACGTCATCGTCTCCATAAACCCCCAAGTTGTTGTTGTTGCTATTATTATGGCTTTTTAAAGTATTAAACTAAGTAGCATTTGTTGTCTGTCCGTTTTCTGTGCTTTGTCTGGGCTGTCAGTTAAATTTATTTATTTTTTTCCCCTGCGCTCAACTCTCGCCTCGCATTTTCTGCGTCTTTTTGGTTAATTGGCTAAAAATTTTCTACCAAATTACTTTAATTATGACAGTTACACAGACCCCTTTACAAGTATAAAGGTATATATATCTGTATACCTATAGACACAAGTCTTTCTTTCTTTAGTGTTTAGTTGCGCTTATTGCCTTGGCCGCTCTTCATCTGTCATTCCCCATTCCTCGATTTATTCGCTGTCATCTTTTGGATGCTCTAGCTTTTCAAAATGTGTTAAGTAATTGATGATATTATTGTTACGGCTGCGGCAGAGCCGAAGACACTATTTTGAATAGTGGGTCAGTTGAATAGACTTGCGAATGGCTGGCTGCGATGATTTCGTAATAACCATATAGGCGTGTGCCTGCAAGCGATGAATTTCTTCGTTTCCTTTCTAAAAAATAGGTTACTGATTGCTTTTTATTTTGATATCGCAGCGATAGAACGAGTGAGAGTCAGCGGGAATCTGTGAGTTGCCATTTTATCATTTTGATGTTAGTTAAAAATATGTTTTCCGTTTCGATTTTATAAGCATAAACATCATTTAACCAGCTCGAAAAAATGGGTATAGTGCTAGTGATCAAATAATTTATATATTAATGGATACAAAGAAATATATTATGCGGAATTTTGTCTTTTTGGTCAGTTGGCACAAGCCAAGTTTTTCGAAAGATCCTTATGTGAGCATGCAAATTCGTACATTTCAAAAGTTGTGTTCTTTCGGACATTCGGAAACTGATAACAGCATGGAACATTTGGGCAACTGGCAAAGAAGGATGCTGGTTCGAATCCCAGAATAGTATATGAATGTAGCACGAATATGGCAACTGGCAAAGAAGGATGCTGGTTCGAATTCCAGGCCAGTGTATGGTTGTAGTAAAATACTAAATGATGATCTCTTAAAGTTAAGCCAATTTATAACAATATCCTATACTTATAGTATTAATAACTAATAAAGCAACATCGTTAGTTCCAAAGCTAAATTCGTTATGAAACGCAAACTGTAGACATAAATAAGCAGGGCAATCAAGCAATCGCTCGCCAAAAAAGAGGCAGAAGATATTTAATAATTAGTTAAATTGTAATTAAGTACTTAAACACTTTAGTTTCTGTGTGGCTTGATTCAACTTGCTTAAACGGAACACCTGAGTCTATGTACACATACATGGACATACATATATCGCATATATATGTACATACATATACATATCTCTGTAAATCCGCGATTGAGGCATTGCATAAGCCGCGGCAGTGCTTTAATTGCTGCAGCGAGCATGTTGCATGCCGCACGAATTAGCTTGGCTTGGTGAATGGTTGCGATTGCGTGCGTCGCAGGGATGGGGTGTGGTGTGCGGGGTGGCTGGTTTTATGTGTGTTTTGTGGCCAAAATTGAAGCGTACTTCCGCGTAGCGAGTGAGCGATAAGCGAAATTGAAACGTTTTTTATTTTGTTTCGTTTTTTTTTTGTTTGCTTTTTTGCCAGTCAGTGTGGCACGGGAGCAGCGTTAACAAATTAAAATTACGCATACGCCGCTTTGTACCGACAGCAGCAGCTGTGGCAAGGGAAAAACAAAAAAACAACAAAAAAATCGCGAGTGCCAATGCGCTGGCAAAACTGAACAACTTGAACAACTGCAAACTATAAAACTGAACAACTCGAACGCATTGCAAACGCCATGCTTGGCCGAGCGCAAAACATTAATAAATACCTGCGGTTTAATTCAAAATAATTTGTTTAAACATTTCCTTTTGTTTAACGCTGCCAGTTGCCAATTACCCGCGCTGTGACGTGCACCACAACATTCTCAGACGCCGCCACCCCCGAATCCCGACCCCCGACCCACGACCCTCTATTCGCATTTAATTGTTGAGCCACACACATCTAATATATGCTATGTGTCTATATATACATGTGTACACTGGGAAGCTGGCATTGTTGTTCAAAGAATTGCAATACATAAATTGCACGATGAGTGATATACATCGCCAAATCGAATTGCAAATTGGCAGCGGGCGGCGTGTGCACATGCACAAGGTCATTCAGGGGGCATCAAGCGTAAAGCCTAGGCAGTTTGTTGAATTGAGTTAAGTTGAGCTTTCACACGCACACGCCTCACGTACACAAAAGCTTGACAGCGTGCGCATTGCTGCAGGCGAAAGCTCACGCACACAGTTACACAAGCACACACACACACAAACACAGGCGAACACAGCTCACACATTTAGGCTAATCTATTGCGTTGAGTCATTTCGATGCAACTGCATTTAATGTCATTTAGAGTGAAATAATGTTAATCGCATGTCCAATTTAATGACTTTTAGCACACCGCTCACGGTTCGCAGCGATTTGCGTGCATTTGGCTTGAGATCAGCAAATAAAATAAACACAAAAAAATGAATAAAAATAAGAAATATACAAAGCCAAGCCGTCAGCACGAAGCGGGCATACTCTTGCTGCCCGACGAGTACTCAACACAGCGGCAGAGTTATTATGCCCGCCGCCAAGTGGGTATATGAAGAAAAAAGAAAAACGTCTGTATTTGGCATGAGGAGGATTGAATACCCTAAAATATATATATATATATAGAGGCATTTGTAATAAGACCAATTCTGTATTTAAGGCTTAACGATGATCATGAGATTATAGAAGAAACTCAGAAGTTCCAAGTTTCACACATTTCACATTTACCTATTTCTTGAAAAAGTTGTAATACCCTCGGCAAGTGTATAAAAACTTTAATTAAATTGCCGCGCGCATTGAAATTGAATTGAAAATCGGTTTTGTTGCGCTTTTTTATGTCATGATTAGCGCGACTCTTTGCCAACTGGACCCGGAGCCAGGCAAGATCTGTTTTGACTTTGCGCAAATAAGCATTAAATCTCACAGTTTTGGACCAATGCCGATCGCAATGTCCCAAGAACCGAGCCCACAAGCGAGTGACAAACCCGAAACCGAAACCAAATCTCAAAACCCTAAACCGAATGTGTGCGGCACCATAGCGCGGATTCAAAGCTAAAGCTGAAGCTGAAGCTGGAGCGGGAGTTGAAGTTGGAGTTGGAGCTGTAGCTGGAAATGAAGCTGGAGTTGGAGCTGGTCGCGCTTTGATGTGCGGCGTGTTATGTTATGCGCTCTGTGGCGGTTCTCATTTGAATTTTTATGCATTTTGACAAGACTTGAGGGCAACAGCTTTTGAGGCGGCGTGTGGTCAGCGTTGCTGTTCGTGTTGTTGTTGTTGTTGTTGTCATTTTTGGTTGTTTTGCCAGTTTGTAGAACGTTTCATTTGTCTCAATCAACAAACAACAATCAAATTGAATGCAGCGCGCTTTGATCTTTGGCTTAACATGGTTTTTCAATTTTCGAGCATAACTTTTAATAGCTCAATTCATTGCGCTCCTTCGCACATTGCAGCTGTGAATACTCTACTCCAGTTAATGTTAGTTAAGTGCGCTAATTAATTTGCTCTTGATTTCTTGTTGATTTTCGCATTCCCACGCGTCCACTTCGCCAATCCAATCAAAGGCAAAGGCGAGTGTCACATTTAACTTGAGGCTCAAACATTAAAGATGACAAAAAGCCAACAAGTTCGCTTTGCACTTAAGAAATCTGATAAAAAGGGCAGCAGCAGCAGCAGCAGCAGCAGCAGCAGCAGCATTTCAGCCACATCTACTGCTGCTGCTGCTTCTCCCGCTTTGCTTCTTTCTCATTGCACTCGTCACGTGAGTTTTAGCGCAAAATGCTTTGAACGATTGAATGCATCTCAGATGCAGAAGATCGCGAAACGAGTACCCAGAGTTAAGACGCAGACACAAGACTCAAGACCCGAGACCCGAGACCCGAGACTCGACAATCGAGACTTTGTCCTCGTCTTGCGTCTTGGGACCACTCAAAAGAAGTGTCACACACAATCCGCTTGCATTTTGGCATTTGTCAACTTTCATGCGCTGCGCTGCGCATGCGCAACAGCAACAACAGCAGCAACAACAACAACAACAACAATAACATCGTTGCCTGAAACAGTGGCGGCATCGACTGTATAAGCCGCTTCTGTCCCCGGTTCTGGTACTCCGGTTCGCCGGTTCAGAGCTGCGGGCGCTGCTCACTTTTGTGTCCTTTATCTAAAATGCTTTTTGCGTAAATTGCGTATTGAGTTTAAATTAAATTTGCCAAGATTAAGATAAGGAATTGCAGTTTAAGCTCACAGCAGCAGCAGCCGCAGCAGCCGCAGCAGCAGCAACTGCTGCCTCGGGATTGGGAACGGCTGCTGCTGCAGTGCGTCGCGGCTTTTGGCTGCATTGCTGCGCATTGGCGCGTAACTAAAAAGGTGTCTTAAACGTTTCTTTCCAACCACTAGCAAGAGGGCAGTTCGGTGAGCAAGGGTAGCGGCAGCCGCAGGTAAGTAACAGCAGCATCAGCAGCGGCGACAGCGACTAAGCGTGCAAAGGCATTTGCTCTGCGGAAAAGATCGATAGGAAAAGTGCATGCCATAAAACTAAGCGTGAATGAGTGCGCAGAGGTGTCTGCCCAACACAAATAAATCACTTGGCTAAGCAGTTTATCATTCATACGCATGATTCATGAGTGTATTCAAACAACTGTGCAGTCTTCAATGAGTGTTAATTCGACTAATAGGTGCTGTGGTTCTTAGAGTCAAGTGCCAAATCGTAGCTACAATACGAACGGCTATATCCTTTTCGAGGATATTATAAAATTGTGACGTTTCCGAGTCTTTTAAGTAAATATATTCAACAGCTGAGTCGTTATATGTCAGATCGAACCAATATATTATCTTGCTACCAGAGGTAGGAGTTAAAGTTAGATATGAGAGCTTTTAGCAAATTACTTGCAACATCGGATAACTATAACTACAAGGGGCTATATATGAATTAGTCGAAGAATTGTTTTTGTGAATTAAATTGGTTCATTCACAACTTTTATTTCCAAATACCAATTTCGCCACAACCTGTCACAGTTTGGGCAACGGCTACTGTGGCTACGCAGCAGCTGCTTTACTATTAGACCAACTCACGCACGCGTACCATTACACACTGACACACACACACACACACACACACACACACACACATTCTCACTGACACACACACTCAGGAAGGCGCTTCTTCTAATTACTGTGACCCTGTTGCAGGGTTCGGACTGTGGCTACTTGAGTTTTGTGCGCATTCATTGGATACATTTCTTAAGCGGCGCGACGCACTTCCTTTCTGGTATTTAGTGGGGCAGTTGCTCGTTCCCAGTTGCTCACATGTTTGTGTTTACCTAAATGTATGTGTGTGCGTGTGTGTGTGTGTGTGTGTGTGCAACGTTAACGTGTCAAATGTCTCAAAACACTAATCCCCTAAGCAGCTTAAAGATCGCGATGCGTTGCGTTTCGTCTTAAACGTGGCTGGCAGGAAGACTCTGAAGACCGAAGACGGCGACGGTAGGCGGGCTGCATGGAGGTTGCCAGGGGCCGAGGGGGACAGCAGGAGGGTTGCCAGTTGGTAAACTGCTGCCTGACTGTCTGCTTGACCGACGACTGATCGTCAGTTTGGCAGTTTGTCAGTTTGCCACAATTTCTTACACACGTTTCATTCATCAGTTTGTATCCGTATCTGTAGCTGTCGCTGTAGCTGTTGCTGCATCTGTATTTGTATTTGACTTTTGGGTTTTCTTTTTTTCTCAGTTTGTTTTTTTTTTTTTTTTTTTTTTTTTTGCTTTCACTTAACAGTTTTACAAGACGGCTCGTTGATCTCTTTATTGATATCACTTTTGATTTTCTGTCGTTCGATTTGATAAGTTGTCAGAAATCATAACAGGCCGTAAGTAAGCCAGCAAGTAAGTAGCCCCCGGATTGCCGATTTGAAAAATTGTTGGTAATTGAAAAATGATTTCTAATATGCACGAAATTAATCACATTTTGGATTTGCTGCCTCGCATCGCCTCACACGGCATTGATCGCCACTTTGAGCGACAGCTAACACAGTAG